CGAATGAAATTCCACATATAATACAAGCATTTGGAGGGTCAACACAAGTCGCGGAGCGAATTCGGACAAAGTTTACGACCGAAACAGGATAGAAAACTTAGTATTTTGGGTCAAAGTCTCATTGTTCGTCAATAAGTCCTTTTGAAATTGGTACTATTCTATAGAGAATGAAAGATCTGCATCCAAAAACAACCAAATTAGAGATTCAACACAAGTTAGGAAACAAATCCGGGCCAGAAAAGGTCGCATACAACGCTAATTTTACTTACGTAACAAAAGACTACTTCCTTTTATCGAAGAGTAACATCAGAACGGAAATTATCTTTTCTAGACCGATTTGTTAAATGATCATTATCGAAATGCTGTTAAGAAACGTTTGAACGAGGCAAATATACCGTTTATCTGTCATCAAGATAATCCTCTAAACGAGCGTCAAGCTCGTCCAATTGAAACTAATTATTTAGATTTTAGTCGAACAAAGAGTATATGAAAATAAGTAGGAAATAAAAGCATTGGATGCATTGACTCGAAAAATCAAATAGAAAGAAAAGGAAATTTGATCAAAAAAATGTTGCAAGCTATAATTGAGAATGTTCGAAGAAAGTTTCGAACTATGTGGCAAGACGAACTATATTCAATTTGGTAAGTACAATTTTTTGTAGTGTTTTTCGTGTTCGATTCTAATTTAAAAAATAGCTCTGTAGCTTGTAAAATGGTTGAACTGTGAAGATCGACATTTCTGCAAAGACTTTAGCATAACATGTTAGTACAAAAACCTTCTATCCTAATATTAGATACAGTCGTTCCAGTGGTTGTGATTGTCATTATCGATTTTGTTATTTTATGGAGAAGATCATCGAAACAAAAATTTTCTGACTGATATTTCGCGTCTATTTAACGATATAAATGAATATAATGATAAGATGTGTACAATTATAAACTTGACTGAATACACAAAGATTTGTAATTTTCATTTTCATTGTTAAATTTTATTAAAAATTAATTTAAAAAACATATATATATATATATATGAAGTGAACTTAACACGTCTTTATACTGATGATATGTCAATAATTGAGCCTATTACATTTTTATTCTAAATATAGAAATTAATATTTAACAAAATCTGATGGAACTGGAAAAGGCGGATGAATTGAACGTGGATGAGAACGAAGAGAAACAATTGACATAAATGCTGTATAAATATAAGCAGCTAAGAAACTAAATGGAAAAATAAACATTAATACTGCCGCAGCTAATTGACCTCTAAGAATTTTTATTTTAGTTGGAGCTGTTGCTCCCATTGTATTATAAGGAGTAACTGTATTTGCATCTAATCCAATCAAAATGCAAATAAATACAAGTGCAATTAAATGTGTTATAAGAGTATAAGTTGACCACATGCGTGACCTATGATAAATAGATACTAAAGACAAACAAATATTTATTATTGAAAAATTAATTTTTGAAATTACCCAGAAGATACATAAAAATAACAGGTATTACAAAGAATATTGAACACCAAATTCCAGCTCCTGTTGATGCTGTATTAGACAAATTATTTGAAGGATCAGATGCTAAACTTGCAACTTCAAGACTAAATATAATTATAATAAGTAGAAGCATCACTGATGCTAATACTACAGTAAATATACGTGGCCATAGACGACGCCAGATAATTTCTTTAAGAGACAATCGTTGTCGTCGATCATAATTGACATAGGAATAATGACGTGCATAATGGTATGGTGACCATTGCTGATACATGACAAGACGTTGTTAAGTGAATAAATGAATTTGATTTTATGTATGTTTCAACTTGTTATACAAACCATTAAAGAATAAAAGTGTAAAGATGGGTCATCGAAACAAGGTTTTTTATTGATATGTCCTCTAAAAAGATATCATTTTTTTAAATGAAGGTTTACATTAAAATAAATGATACTGTAACAAGAATGTACGATTGACAAATAAATATACATTAAATGAAGAATAAGACAAAAGAAAACGATATTCAAGATATATTTCAATGAAATTTCATTTATTTAATCATTAACAAGTGACATCTATTTCAATGTAAACAATACACATCAAAGCGGGTTTTTTGTTATAAATTTCTTTTCAAATTATCTTTGAAATTTTAAAATCAAAGTTTCAGAGTTTTTAGAAAGTCAAAATGAATGGATCTTTCACCAATAAAATCATTTAAATCTTACTATCTATCTATTCTTAAAAATATTATCCAGTGTTTCTTTTCATTTATTTTGTCTATTATTTGAAATTTTCATTAAAATATCTGATAAAATCTTTTATAAATATTCGAAATTATTTATAATTTTTGAAAAGAATAATGTAATGAGTTCTTCAACGACGAGTCGATATCGAGAATCAACTGATACTTCAACACCAACTAAAATTTATGATAAAATCAATAGTTCATTTACTGAAGAATATGCTCTCGATGATATTGCAAAAGAAGTTTGCATTTATCTTTATCTTTATCTTTGATTATTAACTATATTTTTATAAAGGCTGAACTTCGTCTTCAACATGAACGTGAACAAAATCGTGAAGCACGTCAAATTCGACATAAAGAATTAGAAAAAAATGCTCAAGATGTAAATTTTTTTATCTTCTATATTTAATAAACACTAAGTAAATCGATCATTTAGGACGATGATGAAGATTTACTAACGATTCCACTTACTCCATCGACATCAATAGGATCAAATAAAGTAAAAAGTCAAAAACAAATTTTTTGAAGGAAAAAAAACCAACCTAAAAATTATTCTTAGTCTGGAATGATGAATATGAATGGTACACTAGAAACAAATACAAATTCTTTGTTACTTCAAAAATTTCTTAATGGTGATATTGACCTTCGTTCTCTTGAACAACGTGATCTAAGAGTTCGTATATTTCATAATTGATGTTTTTTTTTTCAGAATGTTTTTTATTTGAATTTCTACAGCGTTTATTAAGTGAACTTGAATTAAAATATAAATCTTTAATGATTATTAATTCAAGCATGTATAATGAAAAACAAGCATTACATTATCAAGTTGATACATATAAAGATATATTAGATGAACATTATGAAACATTCAATCAAATTAAAAGACAATTAAAAGAAAAATGCAAAGTAATATTTATTTATCAAATTATTAAAATAGATGAACTTTTCTTTTTTGTTGAATAAGGATTTTGATTTACAAAAACAAACATTAATTGATTTACAAGAGAATAATAATCAATTAAAAGAAATTTTAATTAATTGTGAAAAATTAATTCAAGTAAATTTATTATTTAGGAAAAGAAAAAGATTTTATTACTTTTTTTTTTACATATGAGTTTTTATAGGAATCAGATATGAAAATTTATACTGATGAAGAACAAAAGTATTTATCTATTTTACCAATTGATTTCAAATGTCGAGAAACATTTCTATTATCTAATTCTCTTCTTAATAAATCGATTAATGAAAATTTAAAAAGAATATTAAATGAAAAATATGAACAATTTGAACAAATTATTAAATTAAAATTAGAATTAGATGAAGCAAAAAATCGTTTAAAAATACTAAAAGAATCAATACCAAATTCAATCGATTTACATCATCAAAATATAAATAATGTTTGTGATTGTGACCAACAAAGTATTTAAAAATATTTTTGATGAAAAGAAAAATTAAATTTATTTTATTTTTTCATAGAACAATTAATAAGACAAATAACTGATTTGAATAATCGATTACAACAATTCGCAGCTGATAATGGATCATTACAACAAGAAGTAATATATTTAACATCTATTATTCAATAAATCGAGGATATTATAAAATTTCTCTATCATTGGACATAACCATGGACAAAGCATTCATTCGATGATATATGATAAAAAAATCTGTATAACCATGATATTTTCGTTCCAGAACAACCAATATACCTGAAAATTTTAGGAAATATGGTCCAGGACCTAGGAAGTTTATAATAGCAATTTCAGCCCAAGATATTGACTTCTTCAAGAATCATCTCTATATTAAGAGTCAAAAAATAGATTTCCATGCGTCTCAAATTTCTCCTCCAAATCTAATAATAAAGATCTCGGGTTGCCGTTTCTGGTTAGTAAACCGATAGAGAACACACATTGATCGTAGTCTACCATGTATTATCGACTATGGCGAATCAAACGAAGACTAGCGCGTACTTATACAGCGTCTAAAAATCTGAATCTAGAAGAGAAAAAACATATGAGGTGTACATATTCATGTCGTCCATCCAAAACTAGCCCTATTCATTCATACCCGCATCATAAATCCTGTGAAAAACCATCAGAATACCGATAAATCTTACTATTTCCGAAAGTAGACAACGAGGGCAATCCAACCATACAAAAGTCTCAAAATTGATGTTTTCGATGAAAATTGTGATTTTTCATAGAGAAATCTTTAAGGGTGTGGATGTTTGTCCCGTTGTCGGTGAAGATAAATTATACATCCACTCAAATTTCGTGGAAGATATGTTCAAAAGTTCTGAAATTTTTATATAAGCTACTCTAATTGAAATTGTTGATATCAACAAAGTTTCACATTAAAACTAGAAACTATAATTTAGTTGAAAAAAACAAAGACCTGTACATTGAAATAAAACAAATGTACTATGAAATATCGAGTGATTCTTTACTTGTGAACGAAATAAAAGCTTTGAATCACTTCAGGCTGTTCCTTCATGAGATCATTCAAAGAAATACAATATCTTAGAATGCATTCATGGAAGAGATTATTGTATGAGTAATATATTGTGAACTATTAGGAAACTCTTGTTTTAATTCATATAAATTGTTATTCATTGATGAATTTTTTGATTCGAGACAATCTTTATCTTCTATTGTCTTTCATTTTCTTGATTTCTTAAATATGTGTTCTTTTTAATTAGAATATACGTTATGAAGCTCAACTTACACGATATAAACAACAATTAGATGATGCAGAACGTGTTGAAGATGAATTAAAACAAGAACGAAGACAATTACAACGAGAGGTAAATTTTCTTTTTATTCATTTCTTAACACATCAACTAAACATTATAGAATTGTTGTTGTTCTTAATTAAGTAAGGAAAAAAAAAAATTGTTTCTTTTTGCAAATATCATTTATTGTTTTTGTTTTTGCAATAAAGATAATTATTAATAGTTTTAGCAGATAGAAACACGGAAAGATGATACATTAGACAAAACTTGATATCTATGCCAGGTAAAATTCACCTGCGTCAGGATTCTCGATTAGAAAAGAAACTTTCTTCGGCAAAATATTCGACTTTCAAGGTCACACCGAATTTCTCCTTCTTCCCAACTACTTCTAGTATGAAAGCATTTTCTGCCGAATTTTTACCTTCTTCCACCTCCAAAAAATATCACACACCCTAATCTGCATGAGAAATTTGATGTGCAATTTTCGATTGTTTGTTCATTCGCATTAAGTTTTTATTTGAAATTTCTTCTTTTATTTGTTTATTGTAGCTTCGTATTATAAGTGATAAATTAGAAAATGAATGTACACGAATTGATGTTTTACAACGGGAGAATGAACGTTTACGTGTATTACGTAAAAAAGATTTACTCAATAATAGTGATGATAAACTTGGTATATCAAAATCACATTCATCATTATTACCAACTAATTCCAATGATATACAATCAAATTCTCCTATAGAAGATTCTTTTTAAATCTTTTTTTTTTTGTTTGTCAGTTATGATGTTCGGTATTAATTATTTTTTAACTGATTAAACATGTATTTCTATTTTTATTTTTGTGTCTATCTTTATTTTAATCCATGTTAAAACTTATACACAGATGGTCTCGTTTTTTTTTTTGTTCTTTTTGAAAGAAGTTCTGCAGATAGAGATATAAGTGATATATTTCGTATTTTGAAACAAAAAAAAAACATGGAGGAGAAAAGAAACTGAATAAAGAAGTTAAGAACGATGTCTATTTCGATTTGTTTGACGACTACCAGAACCATTTAGATTTAGTTTTTGTTCAATTGGTTTTGATGTTGAACTTGAACGACGATTAAATTTTTCATAAGCAAAACTGAAACAAGTAAAATTAATTTAGTTTTTTAAATACAAAATACAATGATTATAATTAGCAATAACATATTGAAAAATTTCTAATTCATAAAAGAAAAATGGATTCATTGTATTGAACTTCATATCAGAGTATAACGAAATCGTATAAAAAAAAGTAATAAGATCTAATTTTGAATACAATTTCAAATTGAAATATTTTTATCTCATTTTCCTGTCGATATCTGTGAAAATTTACTTAGACGATCGAAACTTTTAATCAACAGATTATAAATATCGATGGTTTTAAAGCTGCCTTAATCTTATCGAGTCCTACTTATAAGCAAAATATGAGATCAAAAGCAAGGAAATAATTAGGATACTTTCATCGTAAATTATTTTCAAAATCTTTTAAAATTATATTTGGTAGATGCTATAAACATACGTGTTTTGAACTTCTTCTATCATATCAATAGAAATTAATTAACAATATCAATGCATTTTATTAAATGTATGTTAAATATATGTGAAAACTATGAAACTATAGGAATGTAAATGTCTTCGAAATCTTTGCGTTTTGTAGAACTTATATAAGCATTCGAATTTCTGCAAAATCTTTATACATAAAATTAATTAGAGAGTAATTTAATCATTCATTTATTTCAATTTCTTGAAATGCAAGAATAACTATTTCCTATGTTT